CCTGAGCCCTGTGCGGGATCCGCGCCGCAGCCCGAGAAGGACGGAACCAGGGGCTCGGTTCTGTGCCTCCCTGTGCGGGAACGCAGGGCAGGCCGGGCACTGGCTGCGGTCAGGTGGGGATGGAGCAGTCTGGGGAGGAATCTGGGGAGCTTCAGGCTGCGCACAGGGGTACAGGGTAAATCCTCTTATCTTTTTTTGATACTGCGCTAAAGATGTTGGTGTTGAGCCAGTCCTCTCTAGGTTAAACCACCTGCAGTATTTTAGTAACTAATAACGCTCAATTTGTGCAGCCACTTCAAAATGCAGGTTTCTGATCAATTCAGCTGCTTTGCCATATGGATGGTGCTCTGCATGTTTGCTTGAGCATTTATTTACCTTTAGCAGATTCAAGGTGATGAAGCAGAAACATGAGCATTCTCAACACCCTTCTGATTTGATAATTTTCTGTTCAGTGACTGTTTAGTAAGCTCAATGTTATGTGCTGTTCTGTGGAATGCTTTTCTAGCAGATCACCCCACTCCCCTCCAAACCCAGGATGCTAACAGAAGAACCATTAATCTGTTGTGTGTTTTAATTGTGATTGGATCTGACTACCTAGAGCAGGGTGCACGTTGTCTGCAGGTAGTTATGTAAAGATGTGAGAAGGTTGCTCATGAGAAACGTGTGCACTTCTAGTTCAGTGCCTCCATCTCCTAAGCTATTCAGCCCTCTTTGTTTACTGTAATTGTCCATTTTATCGAGATTCTGAGTCTTTATGCTGTAGTTAAATTAGAAGTTTCAGCAGAAAAATGTAAAACTGTGCTAAGTTCCCATTAAAAAAACAAAACAAGATAAAAACAAACTCAAAACATTTAAGAAAATGCTTATTTTAAGCATTTGAGTAAAACTGCATGTGAGTAAAGCATACCTGTAATGTTTGCAAGGCTAAAGTAAGTACCTAAATTCAGAAGTAACAATACATTCGTTGACAAGACAGGTCAACAATGTACAATCTTGTTCTGAAGTTCTCAATGAGGGTGCTCTTTTTTGCTGGGGCACTAAGCACGTTTGCTGGGAAGATGTACTTCTGACAGTTGCCTTTTAGCTCCTTCTATTCCAACTCTGTTAGCCACTAAAATAGTTGCTAGTATTCTGTGATTCCAGATTAATCCTTTGAGAGCCTCAGAAGAGGAAGAGCAAGTGGGGGTGGAATGTGTGTGTATGCATTGACACCCTAATCTAAATAAAAGACTTGATTACCTCCTTTCTGTGAATGGTCCAAATAATTTGAAGTGTGACATTGCAATAGAAAGCAAGTTACTAGTGTCTCTGTGGAAGTTTGTGGTTGTGTTTTGTTAAGTGGGCGTTCATGACAGTTACTGAGCTGTTCAGCCTAAGGATGCTTGTATGTGCTTTAGTGGGCGTCTGGTCCCTCAGAAGTCAGTATTAAATTACTCATTTCAGTGATGGAGAACTAAGATGCAAAGATGTTTCCTAGGGCCACCTATGATATAGGGGGCTGATCTGAAAACTGACTTAATTTCCTTGATTTCCATATATTCCTGAACTTTTTTTTTTTTTTAATGGGAACACTGTTCATTTTCTTTTAATTATTATTTGTGCTTCATAGAATCAAAGGAAACACATGTAATTTGTACTGCAATCACTGTATTGCAAAAAAATTCAATTACAAAGTAATGTAGGGATTCTTGCTACATACTATGAGGTGGTGTCACATGCTCGTTGTATCTGGGCTGGGGAAAGTATAATCTATTCCAGAAACTTGTGATCTCAAGTCTTGGTGGCATGGAGTAAGTGCAGCTGCCTGTTACCAGGTAGTTGCTTTTAAGAAAAGTTTCTCTTTCCCACCTGCCCTAAGCTGAAGGGAAAGTCTTAGATCTCCCTCACAAACTGTATGTTTTAGAAACGTTACTGCCTGTTTAGGGTAACAATATCTGTATGTGACTTTGATCTAACAAGTCAATCTGGGTTGAATATTTACTCTCACTAAATCCTGAAGTGTGAAGGCACTTTACAGATTTTTTTCAATGAACTGATGTTGGAGTGAAGAGGGTTGGGCACTGAGCAACCTTGACTGAGGGGAAAGCAAGAGCAGGTAGTTATGTGCAAGTCATTGCAGAAGAGGGTTGGTGACACCTGTAAATAGAGTTGGTGACAGGATTGACCCTATTTTTTCCCATAATCTGAGATTATTTAAATGCATAATGTTAGGCACACGCCTAGATGAAATATGTCTGTATTAGCTTTTATGATTTTGCATTACTTTGGTAAGAACACATTTTAAAGAGTGTTGAAAGTGGTATGGCAGAGTGGGAAACCAACCAACCACAGTGTGGTATACAGTACTGCAGTTAAAATGCCAGCAAAGTAAGCTCTTACACACACATGCAGACTCCCCCGGTTTCTCTGTATGCTTTGGCAGAGTGCAGCAGAGAGTACTGTTACTGTCAAGCAGGCTTCAGCAATCATCTGAAAATATCCTTTCTGCTGAGACTATATTCCAAACATTTAGTTGTTTCTCGTCCTTTTCTACCTTGTTTCTCCCTCATGTAAAGCTAGGCTCTTTAAGAAGCACCTTGTAATCTGAAGTTGATACTGTTCTTTACCCACAGGTAGCAAGAGCTGTGGCTGTTGCTTCTATCTAGCCACCATCTGTTAACTTCTTTCTATACAGATTTTTCATGTGCTTTGCAAATAGTGTATCTAATGCTGCCAAACTTCTTATGTGATCATTCACTGCCCATCAATAGCTGTGATGAAAATAGAGAGCTATGTGAGGAAAAAGTAATACATAAATTAATGTATGCTATACGTGCCTGTGAATTAGCCTTCTTCATTCACAATTTTGTTTTTGTAATTAAGTGAAACCTAAGCTCTCTGGCAGGAAATGGAGGATGATTCATACAAACACCCATGAATTCACAATTGCTTGTATTGGACATGAAGTCACTTAACCCGTTTATCTTTATGCTTTTCCATTTTCAGCAGGTGCTTCATGTCACTATTTTATCTGATTCCACACTTTTTTTATTTCCTTTTTCCATGGAGGAAAAGCAGGAGGACTTCTGAGTTGTTTTGTTGCCTTTTTGCACTGTATGACTCATAAAGTTAAAATAGCAGCCTGAAATTTGGGAGATTACTACTTAAGTAAGCATAGTAAAATAACTTTTTAAAACTGTTACAGTGAGAGCAAACCATGAGATGGCCCCAGGGTGACAACAGCATTCTGAGCAGGCTGTGAGATGGACATTCTGGAAAATGCTTTTTATGCATACCAGTGAGCAAAAGGAAAGGTCCACTTTGCTGTAGGGCTGTGACATCCAGATGTTTTAGCAATACAAGAGAAGGATTTCCCAGAAGTAAAAGTTAGAGCCTCGTCCCTTTGAAGTCAGAGTCTTGATCTTGTTGGTATCAAACAGAGCAGACAGGAGCCTATTTTTTTGGGCTCATAGGTACTGAAAATTACTATGCAGTTCCATATCTACATGTGTGTTCTATATACTAAAATGAGGTACTACAATGAAACCCTGTTTGCAAAATACTTGAATTAGGTTTTTTTTTGGAAGTAATTTTTGAAGTGCCTTTTTTTTTTTTTTTTGGCACT